AATGTAATTAAATACACAGTGTATATATAGAAAATAAAAAAAACAGTCTTTTTCTCTATTTTGGAGACATAAACATAGAAATTTAAAACATTTTGGTTGGTATTTGGCTGTTTTGGTAATGTTCGGCTGTGAAAAGGCACACATAGAGTTACCTCCCTTATGGAAATTGTGAGACCTGATAATCTTTATTAAGTGACCGCTTGATCATTGGAATCCCCTCGTAATTAACTAAAAGAGTTAAATATTGACTTCTGAGACAAACTGGTATTTTTACCAATCATTAGAACACCTCTGCTTTCCATTTATGTAGTAGCCGTCCAATAATGGAATATATATATAAGCTTATATAAATAAATGAAAATAATTTAATTTATTTAACAGACCACAGCCTATATGCCAATATCTTTGGTAGCAAAAACGATATGTTGATATTTATTTCAAGAGGGTTCATCAATATGGGTCATTACAATCTCTCACTTTAAAGTTTTGTCAAAATCCATCAAGAATTACTCAGCCTTCTAGAGTGTTTACAAGCAATTGTGGACAAATGAACAGACTGACATGGAAAAAGCCAATTTACGCAGCACATTTCAAGTGAGCAAATAAAAATTAAGTTTTTAAACTGAATGATAACTAATTTTTGATGGTTCAGGTCAGGTCAGGTAAGGTGAAGGTCATATACCGGACCCTAGAAATTAATGTCATTTGAGGTCAAGGTCACAAGATTACAGACATTATATTTGTGTTAATGGGTGAAAAGAATGATGCTTAGGAAAAATATTGTTACCGGTAATAAATATACATCTAACAAGAAAGACTAAACAACAATTTCAGAAAGCTAAGATCAACATATAGAAGCTTACACAAAGCTTATGTCAGCACCACTCAGTGTTCATTCAGCTTAGCTTACAGATATTTCATAACATTGTGAAATCAGAAGATTCTAAATATAACCTTATATAAGCTTAAATCAAAAAACTTGTATACTGGGTGTACATAAGAGAAGGTACTGTGTACAGCATTTTTGTTACAGTAAGCTAAAGCTTAAAAGCTTATTGATCAAATATACTACAGGTAAAGTTATTTTAAATTATAATACGGACAGCATTTTTTTTAAACAATCATATCTTAGTCTCAGAAACCATAATATGAGTCAATCAGATGTTGACAGCTTATCGTCAAAATTTGTGCCTGCAAATCCAGGTGCGTCTAGAATTATCCATGTTTGAAAGTTGAAAAGACAAGTCATCTTTCCTTCAGACACTACCATTTAGAAAAGACATTAAATAGAAATAGGAAAGAAATTCCTGGTTTGAGGTATTGTTGAAGGATTATGCAACTTTCGTGCTAACTGGTATATTTAAGCTTATTCAAGACTCAAATCAACTCCCCAACATGGCGCATCTGTCCATTTAAAAGCTTATCTAATGCAAACTAGTTTGAACATTTGTTTGTAAAAGCAATCATCAAAAAAAGAGATAAAAAAAAGCCAATGCAAATCAACAATCAAGCCTTATCATGATTTCCACAATAACAACAAAAGGGATAATGATAAAACTGAAAAATAAAAAAAAATACTGAAGAATTCCCACTATATTTATTTTTAAGTCAGGTGCAAAAAAAAATCAATACAAATTAAAGTGCCTAGAAACATGACATTTTCACAAATATTAGCTTAATATGACATACAAGTTGGATCCATTTTGAAGAGCAGCTAGAGTAACGACTTTCTTAAAAGCTAAAAGAGGATGACTACCGATACAAAAACCCAAAAAAAAAAAAAGAGCTTAAACTTAAATAATTGGTGGATTGTCACAATTCAAATATACCATTTGAGATTCAATTTCAAATATCTTTTGGACAAATGATAAACTTTTCATATCAACAGGAACATTTATGCTTAAGTTTATCCTCAAGTAAATTGGATACTGCCACTGGTATGAAAAAATATCGTCTTAGATAGCCTTAAATCAATTCACACTAAGAGAATACCAAACAAATTTTATAAGTTTATGAGCTTAATCACAAAAAAATTGTCCAAACTAACACCAACAACTTAAGAATATCTGCATTAGGTAGTCCCATATCAATCACTTATCACTACAAATCAAAATATTTTGTCTAATTGCAGTACCAATTAAAGACAGTTCAAACCATATATTATCAGGCCTATGATACCAACCATTAGATCAGCTACCACTGGCACTGACAACACATTGAGGCTACCTTTTTAAACAAAATACCAAACAAGCTTTACGCAGCAGCCTACATTATAGCTATTTTTTTGCCCTGTGCGCTTACATACTTCACACTTGTTTTCAAATACCAGAACCAGACTCACATTTTAAAACTTTGGTTCAAAATCAAATGATCTACCGGTACCAGATCTATGGTGTAGATCTAACTGAAACGCATTATCTAAATGAACACAGTATTCCACCCATATAAAAATATATAATAAAAATAAATTGTAACACATTCTAACACACTTAAACACATTCAAATACAGTCTACAATCAGGTCCTTTTGAACACAAGCTCATTCACTTTCAAATTCTAAAACAGGCATAACACACAAATCACATTCATAATAATTTTCTCACCTTCCTGTTGATAAACCACTCAAATTCAAAGCCAAAGATGTCATAGGAGAATTGACAGGACATGTTGATGGGCTGTCCGATGAAAAACTTATATTTGAAATGTTTTTCAGTGGTAAACTTAGAGGCTTTTTCTGCACAGGAGTTCTGTCACACATCCTGGTTTTTCACACAGCGATCAGTTTGAAGTTTAACTGACTTGATCAACGATAGTCACATTGGAAAGCACCTCAGTTAATTCAATTTAGCCGTTAATCCTCTATCACATGGCAATCACTTTCAGCACTTATCCTGTTTTTACAACACTAAATGACAAAATAAGTAATCTGTGTGTCCGACTTGCTTATAAAAACAAAGAATATTCCGTGGCGTTTAACTTTCTTTGCAGCAAAAGTCTCGAATAAATTCCAAAAATCAGTGGTGTAAAAATGTTTAGAATATCACAGATGAATTATATTTGAAAGCACATATATCCTACATGTCCATAAGAGTTAGTAAAATAGTCCTTATGCCTCTGGTGTTACAGTCCCCAAAAATAATTAAAATGATGTTACATGAGGATTCGTTCATTGAGGATCACCGCCACCACGTTTGAAAGACAACACACTTTCGACCAATCAGAGCCAAGATAAGAAAGCGTATGCTAGAAATAAAAACAATGTTTTTGTTTCAGGATTAAATTTACATAACAATAGCAAATAAGTCATTTAAATAACAATTAAGAGGGATTAAAATTATTTAGAACAAAAAATTATTTTATTTATTTTACCAGGAAATAGACCATTATACTGATTGCGTCTGCGCAGCAAGGTGGCGGGAAATTACAACACAAACTTTGGTGAAAGAAGTAAACACAGAGAACAGCAACAGGGCTTTTCAGAATTTGATTATTTTTGGGATTTATTCTTCAGAATAACAATAGATCTGTAATTATGGCTGACAGAAGGTACCAGAGAACCAGGAGAAGTTATGGTCAACGGTATTTTCACACTGAAAGGTAATTTACTCAGAGATCTATTTTATTTTTGGAAGTGAATGACTCCAAATCCTTTCTTCATTCAACAGAATAGCTCAATAAAATTTTCAGCCAAATGACTGATGAAAATAATTATGTTATTGCTCAATTTCAAATTGTCTCAAGTCAAGGACGTTTGTCTTTTACAGTGAATTCAGATTAAAAATGAAATAAATAAAATCTGCATAATGATTGAAAAGGCGGAAACCATGATGAATTGGCTTCCTTTTATTGTTCAGTTTATGTTAATGCTAAATGGAGGCCTACCCACGCCATAGCCTAATAAATCGTAAAGCTCAGCTCATTCATGACATGAAACTTAAATAATTAGGCTAGTTGAGTTATTGATTTTCCAATGAGCTTTAGAATGTTTCCAAACGTTACTTCTGTACTGTAATTGTATAACTATAATTTCTTGCCTAAAGCCGTAAAGGAGATATTAAATGTAAAAATTCTTTCTAATTATACAGGGATTCTGAAAGTGGTTCCAATGAACGTTATGACAGAAATGGACCTCTTAGTCCGTTAAGAAGTCCAGTCAATAGAGATAAGAAAAATCAAAGGAACAAATCTACAAGGTAAATGACGAGCTAACTTTAACTTTAACATTCTTTTTTTGCTGATTGTTAAATTTGCTTGCACATTCAGTGGTGCTTATTACAGTATCAGTATGGTAGACTTGATTTGAGAAACTATTTTGCCGTTTTGGGTACTGGTTGTCTGCCCACTGAATTTGACATCTTGACATAAGCTGTTGGATATTTAATTAGTTTAGGGTCAGGATTAAGGTAATTAATATCTTAATGTAAGCTTTAATCTCTTTCAGACGACCAGGTGTGAAAAACAGCCTTGATTTTAAAGTACAAGAAATTGAATTTCCTCTATTAGACAAGAATGTGTAAGTATGAAATGGTTGAAATATAAAGCTAGCTTGTCTTAATATTTGTTTGGGTAGAGGGGGGCGTGGCCATGCATGGGTTCTGGACTCATCCATACTTCTAAATTTGGTTCCAAAATTAAACAATACTTTCTTCTGTTGCAGGCTTACTCCAGATAATGGAGACATAAAACATTTGAGCTCTAAACTAGATTGGGCAACTCAAACAGAAACATTTGAAAAGCTGGCAGAGGAAGAATTGCAAAGTCTAAAAAAGTAAGTAATTCAACTTTTCTTAATCAAAATAGCTTACATATTTAAGACATCAGTAATACCACCAATTGCAGATGATATTAGTGGACTTTGACCCTTTCACAAATCTTGTAAATTGTATAGTCAATATACTTTAATATCTTGCTTATAAAATCTTATATAAATTTGTCATGTTATACTTTAGGTATCGCCGTAAGTTGGAAATGGGAGCTCAGAAGGAAGTTAAACCTGTTGAAATGGAAGAAGATTCTACAGTATTAATGCGAAGACAGAAAACTGTTGACTATGGTAAAAACACACCAGAATATGAACATTATTTACATGAAATTAAAAGGTAAATAATTTTATTTTAGACTTTGAATTTGAAAATTTGAACACTGTCATTAAGGAAACGATCATATATCCTTAACTGAAATAGTTCAATATAAAGTTGTATGTGACGCAATTTAGTATAGCCCCTTCATAAGCCTTTCGTTGTATAGCTGACTGTAAAGTTAATACAGTTGAGCTCTAAAAAAATTGATTTTGGTACCCTTTAACCTGAATTTAACATCATTTCTTTGTATTTACAGAACACAGAGAAAGACTTCTGACCCAAGAACACCTAATAAATATATTAAAACTAGCCGAAGATCATGGGACATGCAGATTAGACTGTGGAGAAAAGCTTTACACAAATTTGATCCTCCTTCAAGGTTTGTACAAATATATTTCAGATTTTAGTTGTGCTGTACTCAGATTTTAGTTGTACTGAACTCAGATTTTAGTTGTACTGTACTCAGATTTTAGTTGTACTGAACTCAGATTTTAGTTGTACTGAACTCAGATTTTAGTTGTACTGAACTCAGATTTTAGTTGTACTGAACTCAGATTTTAGTTGTACTGTACTCAGATTTTAGTTGTACGGTACTGTACTCAGATTTTAGTTGTACTTTACACAGATTTTAGTTGTACTGTACACAGATTTTAGTTGTACTGAACTCAGATTTTAGTTGTACTGAACTCAGATTTTAGTTCTAGCTAGGTTAATTTAATTAATTGGACATTTTCAAAAACATTGAAGTAAAGATGACTTAAATTAACCAATAGCTAGTTACATGTAGCTCGATTAGACATCCTTCTGTCAAGAAATTTAATATGAATTTTATTATGTATTTTCAGTGCTGATGTATCTATGACAGATATCGCCTCAGAATGTTCCAGCAGTACTTTAGAAAGATCTACATCTGATATATCTGATAATGGTTCCGAAGTTCAGGATTATAGAGACACTCAATCTGTAGAACATTTCTCACACGAATTACCGGAAGATGGAATCAAAGACCATCTTTCCATGAAAGATATGATTCCATTAGAAAGTGACAATTGGGCAGTTCCATTTAATTTATAGTTTGGAATCGATATGATTTATTATTTTGTTGTTGAATCCTTTATCCCTGGCATTCATGGTTCCACATTCAAACAGATGTAAGGTGAAATTTAATTGTAAAATGTATTTGGTGCTGAAAGCCTTAATGAATTTTACTGTGGAAACCATTGATTGTCATTTGTTGATATGCTATTGTCTAACCACAATTTGTTCATGATAATGTCTACAAATAGTAAAATTGTATTTAGAAGCCCAAGTAATTGTTTACCTTAGTTTGCAGAAAATTTGATTCCTTTTTTGAGTGCCAAGTAGAATCTGTTAAATATGATTCTGGAACATCCAGGGCTAGTCTTATATTTGATCAAAGATCTTTGTAAGCCTATTTTGTAACTTAAATGATTCAATACTTCCCTCATTGCACACTGCATGGTGACATCAATAGCCCATTAGGTGCAGAAAACTATGATGTAAAACTCCATTCATTTTATTCAATCATAATATTTTCTGGGATTCAAAATACTTTGTAAAAAGAAAATAAAACACCTGTAAATTAAAGTGCTATTTTGTGGATTTTAGGAATTCTATTTTTATCTGTTTATAAAAAATGTTGTTAAACATAAAATATTTGTAAATCCAATTATCTTTAGTTTGTATCTATATTTACATAATATACATGTATGTGTCATTTTTTATTCTTTTCTCATAGAGTAATCTAAATACAAATAGAGTATTTTCAAGACCTTGGTGTATTCAGCTCAATTTACCTGTTGGAATTTCCAGAAGCAACATTAAATCAGCTTCTGTAAAATTGTCATACTGCGGAAAGTGAAAATAACTTTTCTGTTAAACCATTTCAGTTTATTGTATATAAATTATATTTAGTATGGTCAAAATTAATATAATTATAATAGATATGATAATCATTTCAGTATTACCAAATGTCATGTTCATTTTCTGTAAATTCATATCGCTATAATGTTTCATTCAGTTTATTGAAATTTATATTTATACATCAACAATTTGTTCATATTTTTGTACTCTTGATTAAATAACATCAGAAAAATCGAATTTGCTTTTGTGGATTATGCCATCTGGGTTGTAGCATGCAGAAAAAAAGATACATCTTCCCCTAGTTATTTGTGGACCTATAGCACCTAATGATCTGGGCCATCGAAATGCCTCCAACTAGACATAAAATAAGAGTGTTAACCATTAAGGCACATGCCTATGATTGATATGCATATGAGATATTTGCTGTTGCTTTGAAAATAGAAATCTAAAGTGAGCCTCCCTCCACCACAGCTCACCATGGAAATTTGAGCCTTCAAATTAAAGAAATAAGTGAAATTCCTAGGTTGAAATATTTTTAAAGGAATTGTGCAATTTTCGCACATATCTGACGACTATATATTTACCTAATTATATTCAAGACTCAAATCAACCCCCCGAAAGTGGCTGAACCTGTCTCTTTAATGTTATTTTGGTCATTTGAAACAGTTGTTCAAAATTGTTCAAGTCGAATTTGATAAGGACTATGTCCTTAATCTTCAGATATAATCCACGCAGATAATTCTGGGTAGTTTTTTTTCATCATTTCGTAGAAAAAAATATTTTGCAAAAGACTTAATTTGGCAATTTGTTAAGAACAGCTATTATTTTTTTTTTTTAATTTTTTAAGATATTCATGAGATCTCTATCCTTAAAAGGCTTTCCAACAAAAAACATTGATAAAAGCCAATGTGAACTAGAACAGGTTGAACATGTGTAAAGGTATTTGTATTATCTTGAGGAAATGTTTGACCATCTGTTGGTCATTCATAATAATGATAAACAACTGACCCCTAGGGCAGGACAATTCATACAGTTCTATTTTTAGGCTGTTCACAACGCTTTGGTTATTTTGTCAAAATTCTTCCCTGGTCAAGCAGATTGCAACATTCGGGTGACTGATTAACATCTTGTATTACATAGGGTATCGGTCAAAAGACGCATCTGACTAGAGAGTACGATGCAGTAGAAGTACATGGGGCATACCCCCACCCCCTTTCCAAACAAACAGTTTGTTCCCGCTATTCTCCTACAATTGTTCCAAACATTTTACCAGAATGAAGCAACGGTGCTTCCAGTTCCACGGCGGTTCAGCCATTTTTACCCTCAGTACCAGGAGACTAGCGACTCCTCTGGTTCGATAACATTGTTTGGTCTCGCCAGCTTGACCTGTCCAGTACTGACATGGTCCACTGACCCTACTTCAAATATTTTATTTCAAGACACAATAAACAAATTAAGAAATGTAAACGATAATCGAATCGCCTCCGGGCATGTTTTATTGTTTTTCACTTATTTGTGAACAGCGACGTTGAAATTTTAAATATTTTTACAAATTTTATAGACAAATCAAAGATTTGCAGTTACAGAAACTGGTTGAATTCGAAACATTTTTTTTCCGCTTATGTAAAAGTATTTGGCCTATACTAGCCTCCAACAGTAGCATACAGACTAAATTATTCTTTGGTGTCATCGTTAATTATTTGGAAGTAAAAACAAGTGTATGAAAATATCTAAACCCCGACATTATCAAGTGCTTGTCAGTTATGAGAACTTTGATATTTGTGAAGAATTACATGAATTGATATGGCCCGTTATATAAGTATACATGAAATACAAATTTGACTTGAAAATCATAATTCTGGTTGGAATTCTGGCTCCTGTGTGAACTTAGCATGGGAAAAATTGTAATTGTTTACATTACATCTACAGATAATCTACCAGTAGGCCCTATAAGTATAATAGTATAGCGAGATTAAGATTAATGATGGGGAATTAAACTAATCCTTCTTCAACTACTTCAAATCTTAAACCACTGGAAAATTTGTATACCAACATAATATAGTAATATTCTGTAACTCATGTTCATGTAAGATAACATAACACTTTAAGAATGTATCAGTAAAAAAAATAAACATTGAATAATGGCACGAATATCCTTCCATAGTGATTGATACGCCTATATGGAAGAACAAAGGTGACAAATTTCACTTTTCTTGAAATAATATTCTTAATATTTTGCCTTTGTTCTGAAACCTTTAATATTTTGCATGAGCGGACCTTGATTTTGTGGTGGAATTTCATCTTGTGTTTGGAGTACAAGTTTCTGAACTATCGTTCTTTATAAGATATTGAACGTAAACTAATCTTGTATACGATATCGTCATTTTTCCAGGGTAAGTAGGCTAATATCAAAATGTATATATAATCTTAAGGGGAAAAAGAATCGCCTGGGAAATTTAAATTGAAGTAGATTTGTTTGATAAGAAGCAGGATATAAACTGGATAGTATAATATTATACAGTTGGGTTATGAACAATAGTCGTGTTCAATATTTGGATTCTATAATGTTAGGCCGAGGCTATCTATATGGGAATTTTAAACATGTATACAATTTGACCGGGCAATGCTTAATCTTAAATACCATATTTAATTTAATCGGTGCATCAAATAAGGCTCAATAGGCAATGGCAAAAGTCGGGCCAGCATCTTTTCTTGAGGGAGGGGGGAGGGGGGTGCCACTGTCCAGGACATCAAGGGACTAAAAAAAAGTTTGGTATCATTATTGTATGAAGTATGGGGAAAAAATAGTTCGGGTATCTCATCGTACGATCAGCTATCCCGAATTGGGTTATTATACTTGGTAATAAATTGGATACAGTTGGTAATCATCTATGCTAGTTTCTAGGTTTTCGGCACATATAAATGCAGAGATCATGGCACACGATGAAATGAAAAGAGTCCCTTTTAGAATTCTATCTTAGAAAGTTTCAATTATCAGGTTGATTTTGCAATCGAATAGAATGAATTTACAAATTATTTACATATTGAAATTTTTAAGTTCGGATTGTCAGGAATTAAATCAAGTACATTTTCTCAAAGTTTAGAAAAAGTTGTTTTAGGACAGTGGCTCAAGGCAATTGCTGACCACTAGCCACTATTAGATATAGTAGGTGTGTGACATAATAATAGATCATTGTGTAGTTTAATGTCAGTCTATAAAACAATAATGACCCTTACCAATCCATAAAACACCTTTCTCACTTTTTTACTATAAATATAAGAAAGAGGGCTGTAAGGTTTAATTATTTTATAGTCGGATTTAATTGATCTAAGATGAAGAAAAAACAGTAGTTTATTAGGTGACAATATGACATACTGTTTTACTATACTTTATTTAAATACTAATAAAACAATTAAATTACTTATCAACCTTATAGCTATACCTGTTCTTATCAATTCATCTTTTTTACAAACACAGTTGTATATCGCCACTGGCCTGCCAGTTTTCCTTTTAGACGTCTGG